ATTATTATTTAATTAGTTTTAGTGTATAATAATAAAAACCATAATCGTATAAATCATTATTTTCTCAATAATTTTAATTTTAATTTCAAACGAGTGCCCACACAACAACAAAAAACTTTAGATAAAAATTCAATTAAGTTCTTTATTAAAATATTTTCTCTTACTAGTGATAATGTTAAAAAGTTAAGTAAAAAAATTGCATATTTCTAATTATAATAATTTTTATCCTTTTTAAAATAAAAAAATCGAATTAGTAATTTGACATTTTTAATAAAAAAAATACATAAAAAACATTTTTAATAAAATAATTGTCTTCAACTAATATTCCCAGTCAATTTTTTTCTGTGTAAAAAATTATAATTTTTTCCAAATAAAATAATTGACAGTTTAAGCCCAAATCCTCTTGGGAGGATTTATAATAAATAAACATTAATAGTGTGATCCAAAAATAAAAAAAATTAATATAAAATGCAAATTTAATCGCATACTTTGCAAATAGAAATCAACTTTACTAAAATATATGTAATTAAAAACGTAAAAACTTTAAATCTAAAAAATAAGTAAATGGTCCGATTAAAATAATTATAAATGCCATTAGAGTGGTAATGGAAATAATGAATCAAGCGCTAGTTAAGTGGACAAAAAGCCAAATAAAATGAAAATGGAAATGAAAAAAAAAATCAATAAAAACCATGCCTTGTGCCATGCACCACAACATCATAACCCGGCGGTGGCGATGGTGATGCCTTACCACCGGCACTGCCGCCAGCTGTCAGACGGCCGCCCAAAATGCCGGCGGCTGAGCCGACCAAGCCAATGGCAGTGCCAGTGTTGCCAACACCACCACCAATGCCAGCGCTAGCGTTAGTTCTATGTGGATGATTGTTGTATTGTAGTGTGGTTGTAGTTGTTGTAGGTGATGATGTAGCGACGAACCCTGTTCTCATTCCAGCGGTGCCATTGCGATGTGAGCCCAGCGTGCCGCTGCTGCCAATGCCGCCAATGCCACTGCCAGCGCCGATGACATGCGTTGCCGATTGCTGATGGTGCGGTAGTATGCGATTCATAGTGCCCGTATGCAGTGGTGCGGTGGGTGAAATGCTAGCGCTCGGTGCGTTCGATGGGAAAAGCGGCGTGGTTTCAGACTTATCAATATCCAGGGAGCTGGGTCTAAAGCGAGCGAGAGAGAGCGTGAAAAAAAATAAACACACACAAAGAGAGCAATTTCAAGGGGGAGAAGAGAGTTAGAAAGATATATAGAGAGTTTGTAAACAAACAGCAATAAACTTATTGCAAACAGTGTTTGAAGAGTAAGACGAAAATGAGAGCAAAATTATTTCGAAAATGATCAAACGAATTAATATTGAAAATATTTGTAAAAAGTGTTGAAGTATTAAAAAACGTAGCACACGAAAGTAGAAAACAAAAATTATTTACACAAGCGTGCCGAATATACATTTTTTTACCAGCGCTCTTGGCACATTTGCCTACTTACCGTTTGCTCAAATAGATCCAAGCATGCGAATCGGCGTACACCAAAATGGTGAGCAGAAATGAAGTCAATAGCCCGGCGACCATCATAAGGCTCAAACCGAGCAGACCGCCACTGCAGAGGCCATGCAAGGCATCGGCATAATGCCGATCGATGGCACGACGATCAAGCGTCGCCGAGAGCACAGTTAGATTACGTTTGGTCTCCTCGAGATCATTCTCCATGGCTTCGAGCGTTTTATGCACATCGATGCGGGGATACGTTTCCTGACTCATTCTGAAGAGAAAGAAAATTACGTAAAAGGGAAGAGGGAAAGAGAGTGCGTTAGCAAACGTACGGCTTTGTTTGTTGAATTTAAAGCGAAATAACAAACTATTATTTTACTTACCGCTGTATTAGATAGATAGAGTCACGCGCACGTTCCACCAAGTCACGTGACTCGTTCAAACGCAGTATGAAACGATTACGCAATGTGCCGCAATTGAGGAAATACACATATGGACTACGCTGTAATGAGATAATGTTAAAGAAAAAGATTGTGAGTGGTTTTTAAAGATATAAAAATTTAATATCAATGGAAAAATTTAATAAATATACGTTCAAGAGCAAGTCTTATATAAAAATTATCAATATAAAATGAGGCAAATCGAAATTAAACTCAAATTAATAATATTATTATTTATAAACAAAAAAAAAAAAAAAAAACAAAAAAACTTTCAAACTTTATTTCAAACTTTCTAACTTTATTTCAAAAAATATATTTTCAAAAATAAAAAAAGTAAAATAATAAATAAACAATTTTTTACGCAATCATTTTCCGCTAAAATTTGCATAAATTATGTTTGCCACATCTCTTAAGTCCATTTTCGCAGTTTTTTGACTGAAAATACTAAATTTTTCTATAACAGCTTTTCTCAAATTTAATAATTTTGCTATTTGAAGTATTTATTGAAATAATTTTAGTCATATTTTTTATATTCGTTTTGTAAATTTTGGCAGCAAATGATGTCTTTGAATTTAATGCTCCCAACTTCCTGCCAATTCAATGAATTGCGCTGAAAAATATGCTTCAAAATTGCAATGTTACACGCCACATACACAATGGCGCATTGCCAACCCTTGCTATTAGCAGCAATGCTAACATGGTTGTCGTCGAAAGGCCGGCGCTGCTGGAAATTCACGCCACGAAGATTCTATATTTCCTACGCAGGGGTGCATTTGTTCGTAAAATATACTTATGTGTGGATTTGTTGCTGTAAAAATGTCAACTGCAGGCGAATACGGCACGTCGCACAATTTAGTGAATTACGACGAAAGCACAGAGAAATAGGACGGCAAGACAATCGGTTGTTGATGGCTCGAGTTCTTGGCGGAGTAGGACAGCACGAAGCCGTTACAATGTTAAAGTGGAGGAAGCTGTCGGGGTGGGATGTCTCAGCTCAGCACAAGGGATAAGCATTCTAACGTACGCTGACGCGCCATTATGTGCGAAGGTAGTTGCAACGAATTATAAATTTTACTGCAGCTCAACGCTCGCTCCTCCAACGATGTGCGCGGCATCTTGAACGCATACTTCAACTGCTGCGTTTGCTTGCATTTACCCATCTCCTTTTCAGTTTTCTTGCTACGCCTTATGTGCGTAAGTTTGCCATGCAGTTCGCTTGTCTGTGGACGTCTGCAATCAACAACAGCACGTTTTCGCGCTGATGAAGTTAATCAAAAGTGGCAAATTAAACGGTTGCGTTTGCGGCGCTGTCAAGTGAAGACAGCATTCCGCTCCTAAATGGGATGCGCGTGGCCTGAGATGAGATATTGTGCGGGTAGGGAGTGGTGTAAGAGAGGGAGACTGCTGCCTAGAAGCCTGCTGATGAGTAGACATGTTTTAAGGTTTACTAATTCGTTTGTTAATTATCTTTCCTCAGTATGTCAAAGAATGAACGCGCTGTGCTCGGCAGCTTTCGACAGCTTAATCACATTCCACTCGATTCTTTAGCATATTTCCACCATATAAGTGATCTAAATCTTCGAAAACTTTCCATGACACCATAGATCCATCAACTCACAGATAATGTCATCGATATTTTTCGGTAGGTTCGTTCACTAAAAGGAAAAGTAGGTTCGGTTCAGCCGTCTGATGTTAAATGAGTTACATTGTAAAGATTTTTTTTCTGGGAGATTTCTTATCGACTTTTTCGAAAACTCTAACCAAGTTATTTCTTTGTGATACCTGCCATCAAAGACATGGACTTAGTTAAACATATCCAGCGATATCACTTCATCAACTTCACTGATTATTTAATTATTTCAAGAGATCTGGATCTTCTAAAGCTTTTCAAGATAACATAGATCCGCTAGTCCAGATGCTATAACCGGAAAGTAGATTCGGTTCGGATTAGTTAGTATGATTCGTCAGTTATATCATTGTATCTAGAGATTCCGCTTCCGTCTTGGGCTTTTCAATATAATATCCAGGTATTTTTAGTGATACCGGTCGTCGAAGATATGAATGTGCTTGAACATAATTCGCCAATATCACTTGGTGACTTCAGCGATCCCTCTATTCGCTTGGTGAAATTCAGGTGGGTTCAAAGATTTCGCTTTCAAAAACCTGTTCTATGAGCTGTTGCATGATAATTTTTAGTTCCGGCTCTGCGACTCGAATAATCTGTATTAAAAATATCCAAGATAGTCGAGGAAACCTATGACCTTTATGTCGAAACTGTGGGTTGAGGCCATAGCAGAGCTTGTTTTTGTAAATTTTTTGATATTTTTTCATGGTCTAACAACAATAATAAAACGAAGTTCTTAAACTAATTTTCATAATATACATAGATATATGATTTTGTCATCTCTTCGAACTTTAGCCGTGGTTCTGTGGTCTTGGAACTTTAGAAACAGTAGAGACCCGCCTAATTTTGTTGATACCTCTTTTTTTTTCTAAAAACTGTTTCAACACGCAGATTTCTGACACTGCTGACACTTTCGAGACACTTCAAGTTTACTTATTTTCCTAGCTAAAATTTGCAAGGAACAACTTTGCAGACATTTTTGCTTAAACGAAACTGTGAATTATAATTGTTATTGCGCACGCCTATTTTCCACTGAAGTCGTTTAATTTACATTCTGCTCTTGGCAGCGCGCCGGACACTCCTTGGCATCGCAGTACTAAGTTTTCGTTTATTTTCCTTTCCCGCTGCACTGTTTGCCGTGCTCCGGTTAAGCGGTATTTGCCGCGGTAGCTACCAAGAACCACAAAGGCTTCAAATTAATGTGCAAATTTGTTATTGTCTGCCACAAAAACAACAATGAAAGCGAAAAACTGAATTTCGGTATTTTAAAAAGTTATTATTTTCCGCTCTTCTTGGTTGCTCGCCATTACCAAGACACTTTCCACGCTTTCAATTGTCTTTGCAAAGTTGTGCGAATTTTCACAAGTTTGTAAAATGCATCACTGCCGCCAACTTCACACTATAAAGTTTGCGGGTGTCTGCATAAAATCGCTTGCAGCCTCGCTGTATACATATAGACAAATAAAAGTGTGCGGTTATATGCACTTTTAGGCAGACTACCAACCGGATATCTCTACTTTGTTTGTTGAGCAGTTGTGAGCTACATTTATGCCGTACAAAAAGTTAAAAAAAAAAATGTTAAAATGAGTGTTGAAATTTTTTATAGAAATTTCAAAAAAAAAAATATATAGTTTCATACACACATTTGTACGGAAAATTGCTGTGGCAATTCCAGTTCAAGGTTGGCAAGCAGCCAACAACTCCAGTCTGGTGCTGTGGCTGGAAAGGCTTGCATACGTTGCATGCTTTTAGGCGCTAAAACTGCATCTGACTAAGATATTTACTTATCTAGCAACAATTTAATTTTACAAATTTTATTTTTCGCTGAAGACTTTGCTTATTTGAATGCTTCAATGCCAAAAAATTGAGTTATACATATAATCGTATTTGAAAGCTTTTGGTGTTTCAAATGTATGCAATCAAAATTCTATATATTTTTCAATTGATAAGTGCAAATAGATATTGTTTTTCCCTTGAACCATTATTGAAAAGTTCTATAAAAATATTTGTAAGCAATCTATATAGTTTAGGGAAAAATAAAATAAAAATCATAATTTCAAATTTATGAGCTTTCGAGCTTAAGCTTGTGTTTAACATACGGTTTTGCAATTTCAAAAAAGTAAGAAAATCATAAATTTATATTTATCAGCTTTCTAGCGTTCGAACTAAAGCTTTCATCAAAAATAAGCTTTCAAAGTTTCAGTTTTTCGAACTTAAACTTTCTCGCATAATACTCTCGCATAAAATACGTTTTCAGAAATTCAAAAAAGTCATAACTTTATATTTATGAGCTTTTCAGCTTTCTAAATTGCATATTAAATATATCTTTTTGGAAGCAGCTTTTAGGTTAGACATTGTGACTGATACGGTGTGTATTCTATGGTTTGTATCTGCCAAGCCATAACTCCATATTCCATTTATTATGTTAAGAAATATCCTAAAAAACTTTGCAAACTTTTAGGACGTATGCATATATTAGTGTCATTGTCATGGAAGAATTAATCTCATTATTACTTGTAAGATACTTTTGTTCTTAAACGATTTTGTATACCATTTTCACGCGAATTCTTGAGATTTCAAAATATTTAAAAATCGTTGCCTACATTTAGGAGACTTATATATATATATATATATATATTATATAATGGCGTTTGCCTTTGAGTATACTTTTGGTTTGCAAATTTATTGTAAGTTTAGTTTCTTGCCTAAATGTATAAACCATTTTATTTTTGATACGCAAGATTAAAGAGAAGCTTAAAACATTGCCTACATATAGGCGATTTACATCGAAGCCACATATCGAAAAAAAATCTAAATTTATCTTTCAAATATATTAAGTAATTAGATTCGTTTAATGCTATATTAATGCAATTTGGTTTTCAAGAAATTATTTAAAAAAATTCTAAAATTCTGAGGAGTAATATTATCAGTTTTATATGGTGCTTCAACAGCAAAAGAGTTGAAAAAATTTCCATTAAACCCAAAAGTTTTTTATTAATATAAAAAAATATATTTTTGTTTGTGTTTATGAAGTGCACTATTTATTTTCAAAATCTGAAAAAATGTTTCCACATATTTGTAAACATTTCGTTAAGTAAACAAATTGCAAAAACAAATGCACACATGAAAATGAGCGCCTAAAAGTGCGCTTGAATTGGCAGAGGCTAAGCTAAAATACATGTATAGCATGTACAGTATATTTTTTATATACATTTATTTGTGTATGTGTGCTTTCTGCATATTTGCCTGCCCCAATTGGGTTTATCAGAGCGCATTGCACACGAAATTGAATTGTATGCGAATATGAATGCACACCAGCAAATCCGAATTGGCACAATTGGCTGCCACGCCAACGCCAGCGTAAAGCACACACACACACAAACAAATATACATGCACAGGCAGGCGTGCAATTGAATGCAGATATGTGGGGGAAAATA